GAGAACACAGAGGGAGACACAGGGAAAGGGAATGAGAGACACGAGAGAGACAAGGAAAGGAAGCACGAGGAAACCCATGAAGAGAACACGAGAGGACACAGAGAGGAACATAGAGACACGAGACACGAGAGAGACACAGGGAAAGGAACACGGGAGGAGGACACGAGGGGAGCGGACAGGGAGGGAGCACGAGGGGAGGCCGCGAAGGGGGGACACGAGGGGTTGGCTTGCACGGGGAGGGGACACGGGAGGACGACGAGGAGGACACAGGGAGGGAGGACACGGAGAGAGGGGACACGGGGGGGGACACAGGAGGGACACGGGGAGGGGACACGAGGGGACACAGGAGGGGACTGGAGAGGGCACTGAGGAGGCCGCGACAGGGGACACATGGGGAGGACACAGGGGAGAGGGACACGGGGGAGTTGGCCATGGGGAGCCCGTGAAGAGGAGATAAGAGGGGATAGGAGCTTGGGGGGCGTGGAAGGGACAAGGGGGTCCGTGGGACACTAACAGGGTGCGTGGGAGGTGCAGAGGCACGGGGGACGTGGGGGATGTCAAAGAGAGGGGACAGGAGTGAGCTGGGGACGTGGGGGATGTCAGGGGAGGGTGGACACGGGAACGTAGGGGATATCAGGGGGATGTCACGCGTGGAGAGGGGTCCCGCAGGCTCGTGACCGCGGTGGGCGTAATAAAAGAGGCGCTGACCACCAAAGAAGTGAATCGGCGTGACCCAAAAAATGTGGGCGTGGCCTAAGTGGGCGTGTCCGCCCCGTCAGGAGGGAGGGAGGAAGGAGGGAAGGAGGGAAGGAGGGAGGAAGGAGGGAGGAGGAAGGAAGGAAGAGGAAGGAGGGAAGGAAGGAAGGAGGAAGGAGGAAGGAAGGAGGAGGGAGGGAGGAAGAAGGAGGAGGAGGGAGAGGAAGGAGGAAGGGGAGGAGGGAGGGAGGGGGGAGGGAGGGAGGGGGGGAGGAGGAAGGAGGGAGGGAAGGGGGGGAGGGAGGGCAGGCAGGGGGGCGATGGCGGCAGCGCTGGGATCAGCTGGGGTCGCTGCTGGGAGTCTGTGCCAGGGGTCTCCGGTGGCGCTGGTGGCCCTGGGGTCTCTGGTGGTCGCGGGGGCCGCCTGGCGCTGCAGCGGCGGCTGCAGCCGCACCTCTGAGGCCGACCTGGGCGTTCGCCGTCGCAGGCTGCTCAGTGCCGGCAGGCGAGGCAGGGCGCAAGCCCAGGGGGCTCAGTGGTCGCTCGGTTCCTGCAGCTTAGCCCGCCTCAGCCAGCCCGGCCCTTCCTGCAGGGTCAGGGGGTCGCAGCCCCTCGGCAGGGCGGCCCGGGCCGTGGCCAGGGTGGCGAACGCGCTGCAGGCTCTGCAGGCCCCGCCGGTCCAGGGACACCGTGGGGCTCCTGGTGGGCAACAGAGCGCTTCGTGTGGGGATGGTTCCGGGCTCGCCGCGCTCGGGAGCCCGCCCGGCCTTCCCTGGGAACCGCGCTGAGACCCGCAGAGGCTCCGGCACTGCCTGAGAGACTGCAGATGCAGAGCGATACTCATGACACGACAGCTGAAGAGAGGGACAAAGAGATATGGGAGAGATATAGAGACAAAGAGAGGACACAGAGAGGAAAGGAGGACACAGGAGACACAGGGAGACAAGAGAGGGGATACTGCAGAGAGGATACAGAGAGGACACAGAGAGAGACAAAGAGGGGACACGGGGAATACAGGAGGGACACAGAGAGAGATACAGGGGATACACGAGACAAAGAGAGGGGACAAAGGGGACACGAGAGAGACAAAGGGGGATATAGAGGATGATACAGGGGAACGACACGGAGGGAACAAAGAGAGGACATAGAGAGGGATACGAGAGACAAAGAACAGAGGGCAATACAGAGGGGATACAGAGAGGAGACACGAAGAGACAAGGAGAGCACAGGAGAAGGGGACAAGAAGAGCACAGGAGCACAGAGAGAGTACAGAGAGAGGAGACACAGAGAGAAAGAGAGACAAGGAAGGAGGATACTAGAGAGGACAAAGAGGAGGATATAGAGAGGGACACAGGGGGATGGAGGGACACAGGGGGACAAAGAGGATAAGGAGAGATATCAGGGGACACAGGGATACACAGGGGATACGAGGGGTACACGAGAGAGGCACTGAGGAGGACACAGAGGGACACAGGGAGCACAGAGAGATACACAGAGGGACATCGAGAGATACACGAGATACGAGAGATACACGAGAGGATGAGCACTGAGGGATACAACGAGGGATACACAGGGAGATACACAGAGGGGGATACACACAGAGATGACAGAGAGGGATACACAGAGGGACACAGGAGATACACATGAGAGATACACGAGGAGATACACAGAGAGGATACAGAGGGCAACAGAAATAGAGAGGAATACACAGAGATACGGGATGGGAGGATACACGAGAGGGATACACGAGAGGAGATACACAGAGGGACAGGGGACACAGGGAGACACGAGGGATACACAGGGGCACACGAGAGGATACATGAGACAAGGAGGACACAGGGGATACACGGAGGTACACAGGGGGACACTAGGGATAGGGGGATACCAGGGAGATACGAGAGGGATACACGAGGGATACACGAGGAGAGGGACACGGGGAACACAGGGGATACACGAGGGATAGACGAGGTACACAGGGAGACGGGGGAATACACGAGAGGACCTAGGGGGGATACACAGAGGGAATACTACGAGAGGGATACAGCGAGGGCAGAGATACACAGAGATACACGAGAGGACACAGAGAGGATACAGAGGAACACGAGGGAGATACAGAGGAATACAGAGAGATACACGAGGGAGGATACACGAGAGAGATACAGAGGATACAGAGGACAGGGGACACAAGGGAGACACACGGGATACACAGAGATAGGGCAGATACAGAGGGATACACGAGGGCACGGGAGCGAGATACACAGAGAGATACACGGAGATACACGGGGGATACAGGGGGACACAGGGGGGATAGCAGAGGGGATACAGAGGGGGACCACAGGGGATGACGCAGAGATACACAGGGATACACGAGAGGATGACAGAGAGATACACGAGATACACAGGGGATACACAGAGATACAGGGGATACACGAAGTAGGGGATACACGAGATACACGGGAGATACACGAGATACGGGATACACGAGGGGGACACAGAGGGAGATACACGAGGGGATACACGAGAGGGAGATACACGGGAGATACACGAGAGATACGGAGATACAGAGATACGAGACAGGATACACGGGGGAATACAGGAGATACACGAGGGGACAAGAGATACACGGGAGATACACGAGGGATACACGAGGGATACACGAGAGGCATACACGGGAGATACACGGGAGATACACAGAGAGATACAGAGAGAGATACACGAGGGAATGAGGACGATACACAGAGATAAGGGACACGGACAGGGGACACACGAGAGATACACGAGAGAGATACACAGGGCACAGGAGACACAGAGAGGGACACCGAGAGAGATACACGAGAGACACACGGAGAGATACTGAGAGGATACACGAGAGACACAGGGAGGACACGGAGAGGATACACGAGAGGAACAAAGGGAGGAACACAGGGATACAGAGAGATACACGGGAGGGACACGGAGGATACACAGGGAATACGAGAGACACGGGAGATACAGAGAGGGATACAGGGAGAACACAGAGAGATACAGAGAGGGATACACAGGGAACACAGAGGGATACAGAGATACGAGAGATACAGAGAGTGCAGGGATACACAGGAGATACACGAGAGATACGGAGATACATGAGGGATACACGAGAGGGACACGAGAGATACACGAGGGATACACGAGGGAGATACAGAGATACGACGAGAGATACACGAGGGGACAATGAGGATACGAGAGATACAGAGAGAGATACAGAGGACACAAGAGACACGAGAGATACACAGGGAGCAGAGAGGGAGCTGAATGCGGGAGGAAAAGAGGTCTGGGGGCACGGGGGTGACCAAGGGGGTAACGGAGTGACACCGCGGAAAAGGGCTGGAGACACCGAGGAGGCATTCGGGGAGGGACCCCGGGGATACAGGGAGAGGAGCGGGGATGGAGCGGGAAGAGGTGACAGAGAGACTGAGGTTTGTGGGGAGCAGGGATGGGATTGGGATGGGACTGGGATGGTGGGATCACCCGGGGGGGACAGGGAGACCGGGAAGTCTGTGGGGAGCAGGAATGGGACTGGGAATGGCGGGATCACCGGCATCGAGGACGGGAGGTTTGTGGGGAGCAGGGATGGGACTGGGATGGGACTGGGAATGGCGGGATCACCCATCGGGACAGGGAGAGCGGGAAGTCTGTGAGGAGCAGGGGTGGGACTGGGATGGGACTGGGAATGGCGGGATCACCCATCGGGACGGGGAGATCGGGAGGTTTGTGGGGAGCAGGGATGGGACTGGGGATGGTGGGATCACCCATCGGGACAGGGGACCGGGAGGTTTGTGGGGAGCAGGGATGGGACTGGGATGGGACTGGGATTGCGGGATCACCCGGGGGTGACAGAGAGACCGGGAAGTCTGTGGGGAGCAGGGATGGGACTGGGAATGGCGGGATCACCCATCGGGACCGGGAAGTTTGTGGGGAGCAGGGATGGGACTGGGGATGGCGGGATCACCCATCGGGACAGGGAGGGACAGGGAAGTCTGTGGGGAGCAGGGATGGGACTGGGATGGGACTGGGGATGGGGGGATCACCCATCGGTGGGGTCAGGGAGACCGGGAGGTTTGTGGGGAGCAGGGATGGGACTGGGGATGGTGGGATCACCCATCGGGACCGGGAGGTTTGTGGGGAGCAGGGATGGGACTGGGATGGGACTGGGGATGGCGGGATCACCCATCGGGACAGGGAGACCGGGAGGTTTGTGGGGAGCAGGGATGGGACTGGGATGGGACTGGGAATGACGGGATCACCCATCGGGACGGGGCTGGCCGGGCCGATCGGTGCCGTTAAGGGCTGGATGGAGGATTGCAGGCTGTTCATTCCCCTCACGACCCCGTCCCTCCCTCCCTCCCCACCTTCCCCAGAGCTTTTTGGGTCGGTGGAGCCGCTGCTGCCCACGCTGCGCGAGGACGGCGTGGCCGTGTGGGTGCTGGGCGGGGGTCGTACCCGCCGGGGGTCGTGGCCCTGCAGGAGCTGCTGGATGAGGCCTCGGACCAGCTGGAGCCCGAGGACGTTTGGGACCCCGGGACATGAACGAGACGTGCCTGTACATCTTCACCTCGGGCACCACCGGTGGGGCCGGCCCGGGGGGGGAGGGGGGAAAGGGAGCATCGTGGGGTTGTGGGTGGGGGTCTCAACGCCGCGCCCCCCTTCCCAGGGCTCCCCAAAGCCGCCCGGGTGTCCCACCTCAAGTCGGTGATGTGCCTGAGCTTCTACGAGCTGGTGGGAGCCTCCAGAGGGGACGTTGTGTACCTGGCACTGCCCCTCTACCACATGGCCGGGGCCCTGCTGGGCGTCATCGGCTGCCTCGGCATCGGTGAGAGGGGCTGGGACCCCCGGGGGGATCGGGGAGAGGGGCTGGGATCCCCGGGGGGATAGGGACCCTCGGGGGGATCGGGGATGGAGGGGTTGGAACCCCGGGGATCGGGAGAGGGGCTGGGACCCCAGGGGATCGGGAGAGGGCCGAGACCCTCGGGGGATCGGGGAGAGGGCTGGGAACCCGGGGGATCGGGGATGGAGGGCTGGAACCCCCGGGGGATCAGGGAGAGGGGCTGGGACCCCAGGGGATCGGGGAGAGGGGCCGGGACCCACAGGGGATCAGGGAGAGGGCTGGGACCCCGAGGATCGAGGATGAGGGGCTGGACCCCGGGGATCGGGGAGAGGGGTCAGGACCCCGGGGGATCAGGATGAGGGCTGGACCTCCGGGGGATCGGGATGGAGGGGTCGGGACTCAGGGGATCAGGGAGAGGGGCGGGACCCCGGGGGATCGGGGAGAGGGGTCGGGACCCTCGGGGGGATCGGGGAGAGGGGTTGGAACCCCCGGGGGGATCGGGGAGAGGGGCTGGGACCCCCAGGGGGATCGGGGAGAGGGGTCAGAACCCACAGGGGATCAGGGAGAGGACTGGGACCCCGGGGGATCAGGGAGAGGGGCCGGGACCCTCGGGGGATCGGGGAGAGGGGCCTGGACCCTCGGGGGATCGAGGGAGAGGGCCAGGACCCACGGGGGATCGGGGAGAGGGGCTGGGACCCACGGGGGATCGGGGAGAGGGGCTGGGACCCCAGGGATCAGGGAGAGGGACCGGGACCCTCGGGGATCGGGAGAGGACTGGGACCCCGGGGGTCAGGGAGAGGGGCTGGGACCCACGGGGGATCGGGAGAGAGGCTGGGACCCAGCGGGATCGGGGGAGGGGGGCTGGGACCCACGGAGGATCAGGGAGAGGGCCTGGGACCCCGGGGGATCGGGAGAGGGGTCAGGACCCACGGGGATCGGGGATGGAGGGGCCGGACCCTCGAGGGATCGGGAGAGGGGCTGGGACCCACTGGGATCGGGGAGAGGGACCGACCCCGGGGATCGGGATGGAGGGGCCAACTCGGGGATCAGGGAGAGGGGCTGGGATCCCAGGGGATCGGGGAGAGGGTCAGAACCCCGGGGGATCGGGAGAGGGGTCAGAACCCACGGGGATCGGGAGAGGGCTGGGACCCCGGGGGATCGGGGAGAGGGGTCAGAACCCTGGGGGATCGGGAGAGGGGCTGGGACCCACGGGGGATCGGGGAGAGGGATCTAGGACCCACGGGGGATCGGGGAGAGGGACTGGGACCCTCGGGGGGATCGGGGAGAGAGGGTTGGGACCCACGGGGATCGGGGAGAGGGACTGGGACCCTCGGGGATCGGAGGAGGGGCTGGGACCCTCGGGGGATCGGGGAGAGGGGCTGGGACCCACAGGGGATCGGGGAGAGGGGCCGGGACCCCCGGGGATCAGGGATGGAGGGGCTGGGACCCCGGGGGATCGGGGATGGAGGGTCAGAACCCCGGGGGATCAGGGGAGAGGGCTGGGACCCGGGGGATCGGGAGAGGGGCTGGGACCCCTGGGGATCAGGAGAGGCTGGGACCCTCAGGGGATCGGGAGAGGGTGGGACCCCGGGGATCGGGGGAGAGGGGTGGGACCCTCGGGGGATCGGGGAGGGGGGCTGGGACCCTGGGGGATCGGGGAGAGGGCTGACACCCGGGGGATCGGGGATGGAGGGATCAGAACCCCGGGGATCGGGGAGAGGGCCGGACCCGGGGATCGGGGAGAGGGGTCAGAACCCCCGGGGATCGGGGAGAGGGGCTGGGACCCCGGGGATCGGGAGAGGGGCTGGAACCCCGAGGATCGGGAGAGAGGGCCGGGACCCTCGGGGGATCGGGATGGAGGGGCCAGAACCCCGGGGGATCGGGGAGGAGGGGCCGGGACCCACGGGGGATCGGGAGAGGGGGCTGGGAACCCCGGGGAATCGGGAGAGAGGCTGGGACCCTCGGGGGATTGGGGAGAGGGGTCGGGACCCCGGGTGGATCGGGGAGAGAGGTCAGAACCCGGGGGATCAGGATGAGGGGGTGGGACCTCCGGGGATCGGGGAGAGGGGTCGGGACCGTGGGATCGGGAGAGGGGCTGGGACCCTCGGGGGGATCGGGGAGAGGGGTCGGGACCCACGGAGGGATCCCTGAAATTCAGCTGAAATCCCTGAAATTCAAATGAAATCCCCAAAATTCAGCTGAAATCCCTGAATCTCAGCTGAAAACCCTGAAATTCAGCTGAAATCCCCGAATTCAGCTGAAATCCCTGAAATTCAACCAGAATCCCGAAATTCAGCCGAAATCCCTGAATCTCAACCAAAATCCCGAAATTCAACCAAAATCCCGAAACTCAGCCGAAAGAAATCCCTGTAACCCAGATTTGCAGGCTGATCCCTCATCCCCGGTCCATGATCCACCTTTTCCCCCTCTCCTTTTCCCGGGATCCCCCAGGAGCCACGTGCGTGCTGAGGGAGAAGTTCTCGGCCAGCGCATTTTGGGACGATTGTCGGGCCGAGGGCGTCACCGTCTTCCAGTACATCGGGGAGCTGTGCCGGTACCTCGTCAACCAGCCCCAGGTCTGCAGGGAAAGGGGGGAAACATTGGGAAAAAAGGGGTGCTGGGGGTTTTGGAGCCGGGGGTGGGTTCTTTGGACCCCCCAGATTCTGGGGAGGTGTTGGTGGTCCCGCAGCGCCCCGGGGAGCGGCACTGGGGGGGTTCCTTGGAGCCGAGGGTGGGCTCTTTGGAGCTGGGGGTGGGTTCTTTGGCCCCCCAGATTTCAGGGGGTCCCCCAGAGGTGCCGGTGGTCCCGCAGCGCCCCGGGGAGCGGTGTTGGGGTGGGTTCTTTGGACCCCCAGATTTCGGGGGGTCCCCCAGATTTTGGGGGGTCCCCCAGAGGTGCCGGTGGTCCCGCAGCGCCCCGGGGAGCGGCACTGGGGGTTCTTTGGAGCAGGTTTTTGGAGGTGGGGTGGACCTTTGGGCCGAGGGTGGGTTCTTTGGCCCCCAGATTTTGGGGAGTGCCGGTGGTCCCACAGCGCCCCGGGGAGCGGCAGCACGGGGGGTTCTTTGGAGCTGGGGGTGGGTTTTTTGGAGCCGGGGGGGGGTTCTTTGGGGCCGAGGGTGGGTTCTTTGGACCCCCAGATTTTGAGGGAGGTGCCGGTGGTCACGCGCCCGGAGCAGCAGCAGGGGGTTCTTTGGAGCCAGGGGATGGGGTCTTTGGAGCCAGGGGTGGGTTCTTTGGACCCCCAGATTTCGGGGAGTCCCCCAGATTTTGGGGAGGTGCCGGTGGTCCCACAGTGCCCCGGGGTTCTTTGGAGCCGGGGGATGGGTTTTTTGGAGCCAGGGTGGGTTTTTTGGATCCAGGGGGGGTTCTTTGGACCCCCAGATTTCGGGGGGTCCCCCAGATTTTGGGGAGTGCCAGTGGTCCTGCAGCGCTCCAGGGTTCTTTGGAGCCGGGGGTGGGTTCTTTGGACCCCCAGATTTCGGAGGGTCCCCCAGAGGTGCTGATGGTCCCGCAGTGCCCTGGGGTTCTTTGGAGGTGGGGGTGGGTTCTTTGGAGCCGGGGGTGGGCTCTTTGGACCCCCAGATTTTGAGGAGTGCGGGTGGTCCCGCAGCGCCGGGAAGCGGCACTGGGGGTTCTTTGGAGCCGGGGGTGGGTTCTTTGCACCCCCAGATTTCAGGGTCCCCAGAGGTGCGGGTGGTCCCACAGCACCCGGGGAGCAGCAGTAGGGGGGTTCTTTGGAACTGGGGGGGTAGGTTCTTTGGAGCCAGGGGATGGGTTCCTTGGAGCTGGGGATGGGTTCTTTGGACCCCAGATTTCGGGTGGTCCCCAGATGTGGTCCGGTGCAGTGGTCCCGCAGACGCCCGGAGTGTGGCACTGGGGGGCTTTTGGAGCCAGGGTGGGTTTTTGAGAGGCTGGGCGGTGGGGTTCTTTGGAGCGAGGAGTGGGTTGCTGGCCCCCAGATTTGAGGGTCCCAGAGTGCCGGTGGTCCTCAGCGCGGGGAGCACTGGGGGTTCTCTGGGTCAGGTGTTCTTTGGAGCTGGGAGGGTTCTTTGGAGCCGGGGGTGGGTTCTTTGGACCCCCAGATTTTGAGAGAGGTGCCGGTGGTCCTAGCGCCCGAGGCAGCAGCACAGGGGGTTCTTTGGAGCTGGGGTGGGTTCTTTGGGCCCCAGCTCTCGGGGGTTCCTCAGATTTTGGGGAGGTGTCGGTGGTCACCAGCACCGAGGGCAGCTGGCAGCTGGAGTTCTTTGGAGCCGGGTGGGTTCTTTGGGGTCAGGGTGGGTTCTTTGGACCCCCAGATTTTGAGGAGTGCCGGTGGTCCTACAGCGCCCGGGAGGCTGGCAGCTGGGGGAGTTCTTTGGAGCCAGGGTGGGTTCTTTGGCCCCCAGATTTGGGGTCCCAGAGGTGCTGGGTGGTCCCGCAGCGCCCGAGGAGCGGCACTGGGGGTTCTTTGGAGCTGGGGGTGGTTCTTGCGAGCCAGGGGGAGTTCTTTGGAGCCCAGGGTGGGTTCTTTGGCCCCAGATTCTGGGGAGGTGCTGGTGGTCCGCACCGAGGGCGGCAGGCACGGGGGTTTTGGACGGTGGGTTTGGGGTCGGTGGGTTCTTTGGACCCCCAGATTTGAGGGAGTGCCGGTGGTCCCTCAGCGCCCGGGAGGCGTGCAGCACGGGGTTTTGGAGCTGGGGGCTGGGTTCTTTGGCCCCCAGATTTTGGAGAGGTGCCGGTGGTCCACTTAGCACCCGGAGGGTCTTGGAGCCGAGGTGGGTTCTTTGGAGCCGAGGGTGGGTTCTTTGGCCCCAGATTTCAGGGTCCCAGATTTTGGGGAGGTGCCGGTGGTCCGCAGCACCCGGGAGCGGCCAGCACCCGGGGTTCTTTGGAGGCCGAGGGTGGGTTTTGGAGCTGGGGGTGGGGTTCTTTGGAGCAGGGTGGGTTCTTTGGAGCCAGGGGGTTCTTTGGAGCCGAGGTGGTTCTTTGGAGGCTGGAGGTGGGTTCTTTGGCCCCAGATTTTGGGGAGTTGCCGGTGGTCCCAGCGCCCGGGAGTGGCAGCAGGGGTTCTTTGGAGTGCAGGTTCTTTGGAGCTGGGGGAGTTCTTTGGAGCCAGGGTGGGTTCTTTGGCCCCAGTTTAGGGGGTCCCCAGATTTTGGGAGGTGTCCGTGGTCCCGCAGCACCCGGGAGCGGCAGCACAGGGGTTCTTTGGAGCCGAGGGTGGGTTCTTTGGACCCCCAGATTTCGGGGAGGTGCTGGTGGTCGCACGCGCCCGGGAGCGGCAGCAGGGGGTTCTTTGGAGTGGGTTTTTGGAGCTGGGGTGGGTTCTTTGGAGCTAGGGGGTTCTTTGGCCCCCAGATTTTGGGGAGGTGCTGGTGGTCCTCAGCGCCCAGGGAGCGTGCTGGGGTGGAGTTCTTTGGCCCCCAGATTTCGGGGGTCCCCAGAGGTGCCGGTGGTCGCAGCGCCCGGGAGCGGCACTGGGGGTTCTTTGGAGCCAGGGTGGGTTCTTTGGAGCTAGGGGTTCTTTGGAGCCGGGGGTGGTTCTTGGAGCTGAGGGGGTTCTTTGGAGCCGGGGTGGGTTCTTTGGACCCCCAGATTTTGAGAGGAGTTGCTGGTGGTCCCGCAGCGCCCGGAGGCGGCAGCACGGGGGTTCTTGGAGCTGGGGGTAGGCTCTTTGGACCCCCAGATTTTGGGGTCCCCAGTGGTGCCGGTGGTCCGCAGCGCCCGGGAGCGGCAGCAATCTTGGAGCAGGTGGATCTTTGGAGGTGGGTGGGTTCTTTGGAGCTGGGGGTGGGTTCTTTGGACCCCAGATTTTGGAGAGGTGCCAGGTGGTCCCTTAGCGCCCAGGGAAGCGGCAGTGGGGGTTCTTTGGCCCCTAGATTTTGGGGTCCCAGAGTGCGGTGGTCCTGCAGCGCCCGAGGAGCGGCAGCACGGGGGTTCTTTGGAGCGGGTTTTGGAGCTGGGGTTCTTTGGAGCCAGGGTGGGTGCTTTGGCCCCAGATTTTGGGAGGTGCCGGTGGTCCCAGCAGCGCCTAGGGGGTCTTCGGAGCCGGGGGTTCTTGGAGCTGGGTGGGTTCTTTGGAGCTGGGGTGGGTCCTTTGGAGCTGGGGGGGTTCTTTGGACTCCCAGATTTTGGGAGGTGCCGGTGGTCCCGCAGCACCACGAGGGGGTCTTTGGAGCTGGGGGGTCTTTGGAGCCGGGGGTGGGTTCTTTGGAGCCAGGGGTGGGTTCTTTGGACCCCAGTTTCGGGGTCCCAGATTTTGGGGAGGTGCCGGTGGTCGCAGTGCCCCGGGAGCGCACTGGAGTTCTTTGGAGCTGGGGTGGGTTCTTTGGACCCCCCAGATTTTGGGAGTCCCCAGAGTGCGGTGGTCCCAGCCCTGGGAGCGCGCACGGGGGCCCTTGGAGCCAGGGTGGGTTCTTTGGGCTGGGGGTTCTTTGGAGCTGGGGTGGGTTCTTTGGCCCCCAGATTTCAGAGTCCCCAGATTTTGGGGAGGTGCCGGTGGTCCCCAGCACCCCGAGGAGCGGCACTGGGTGGCTTTGGAGCTGGGGGGGTTCTTTGGAGCTGGGGGTGGGTTCTTTGGCCCCCCAGTTTCGGGGGGTTCCTCAGATTTTGGGGAGTTGCTGGTGGTCCCTCAGCGCCCCGGGGAGCGGCACTGGGGGGGTTCTTTGGAGCCGGGGTGGGTTCTTTGGCCCCGAGATTTCGGGGGTCTCCTCAGATTTTGGGGAGTTCCGGTGGTCCCACAGCGCCCATGAGCGGCAGCACGGGGTTCTTTGGAGCCGGGGTGGGTTCTTTAGGGCTCGAGGGTGGGTTCTTTGGCCCCTCAGATTTTGGGGAGGTGTCTGGTGGTCCTGAGCGCCCGGGGAGCGGCAGCACGGGGGGGTTTTTGAAGGTGGGGGTGGGTTCTTTGGGGTCGAGGGTGGGTTCTTTGGCCCCCCCAGATTTTGGGGAGGTGTTGGTGGTCCCTCAGCGCCCCGGGGAGCGGCAGCACGGGCTCCGCCTGGCCGTGGGCTCGGGGCTCCGGCCCGACGTCTGGAGGAGCTTCCAGGGGCGCTTCGGGCCCCTGAGGATCGTGGAGACCTACGGGCTGAGCGAGGGCAACGTCACCCTCTTCAACTACACCGGCACCCCCGGAGCCATGGGCAGGGCCAGCGCCATCTACAAGGTGAGGGCAGGGGGCTGGGATGGGGGGGGGCACACCTGGCTGGCCTGGGGGTCACACCTGGCTGTCCTGGGGGTCCCACATCCATCCTGGGGGTCCCTTTGTCCATCTGGGGGTCTCATGTCCATCTGGGGGTCACACCTGGCTGTCCTGGGGGTCCCATGTCCATCTGGGGGTCACCCCTGGCTGTCCTGGGGTCACCCCTGACTGTCCTGGGGGTCACCCCTGGCTGTCCTGGGGGTCACACCTGGTTGTCCTGGGGGTCACCCCTGGCTCTCCTGGGGGTCCCTGTGTCCATCCTGGGGGTCCCTCTGTCCATCCTGGGGGTCACCCCTGGCTGTCCTGGGGGTCCCATGTCCATCATGGGGGTTCCATGTCCATCTGGGGGTCCCTTTGTCTGTCCTGGGGGTCCCTCTCTCCATCCTGGGGGTCCCTGTGTCCACCTGGGGGTCACACCTGGCTGTCCTGGGGGTCACACCTGGCTGTCCTGGGGGTCACCCCTGGCTGTCCTGGGGGTCCCTTTGTCCATCTGGGGGTCTCATGTCCATCTGGGGGTCACCCCTGGCTGTCCTGGGGGTCACCTCTGTCTGTCCTGGGGGTCACCCCTGGCTGTCCTGGGGGTCCCTCTGTCCATCCTGGGGGTCCCATGTACATCCTGGGGGTCCTGGAGGGTCCCATGTCCATCCTGGGGGTCCCTCTGTCCGTCCTGGGGGTCACCTCTGTCTGTCCTGGGGTCACCCCTGGCTGTCCTGGGGGTCCCTCTGTCCATTTGGGGGTCACCCCTGGCTGTCCTGGGGGTCACCCCTGGCTGTCCTGGGGTCCCTCTGTCCATCCTGGGGGTCCCATGTCCATCTGGGGGTCACCCCTGGCTGTCCTGGGGGTCACCCCTGTCTGTCCTGGGGGTCCCATGTCCATCCTGGGGGTCCCCTGTCTGTCCTGGGGGTCACCCCTGGCTGTCCTGGGGGCCCTCTGTCCATCCTGGGGGTCCTGTGCCTAGGGTCCTCATGTCCATCCTGGGGTCCTCTAGTCTCATCCTGGAGGGTCCCATGTCCATCCTGGGGGTCACCCCTGTCTGTCCTGGGGGTCCCTCTGTCCATCCTGGGGGTCTCTGTGTCCGTCATGGGGGTCCCATGCCCATCCTGGGGGTTCTTTTGTCCATCCTGGGGGTCCTCAGATCCATCCTGGGGGTCCCATGTCCATCCTGGGGTCCCTCTGAATCCATCTGGGGGTCCCCAAATCCATCCTGAGGGTCCCCAATCTGTCCATCTCTGGGGGTCCTCCAAATCCATCCTGGGAGTCCTCTAATCCATCCTGGGGTCCCTGCAAATCCATCCTGGGAGTCCCTAAATCCATCCTGGGGTCCCCATAGTCCATCCTGGGGGTCCCTAAATCCATCCTGGGGGTCCCTAAATCCATCCTGTGGTCCCCAAATCCATCCTGGGAGTCCCCAAATCCATCCTGGAGTCCCCAAATCCATCCTGGGGTCCCCAAATCCATCCTGGGGGTCCCCAGATCTGTCCTGAGGGTCCCTAAATCCATCCTGGGGTCCCTGAATCCATTCTGGGGGTCCCCAAATCCGTCCTGGGAGTCCCCAAATCCATCCTGGGGTCCCCAAATCCATCCTGGGGTCCCCAAATCCATCCTGGGGGGCCCAAATCTGTCCTGGGGTCCCCAAATCCATCCTGGGGGTCCCAAATCCATTCTGGGGGTCCCCAAATCCATCCTGGGGTCTCTCTGTCCATCCTGGGGTCCCTCTGTCCATCCTGGGGTCCCCTCTGTCCATCCTGGGGGTCCCCAGATCCATCCTGGGGGTCCCTATGTCCATCTGGGAGTCCCTCTAGTCCATCCTGGGGTCCCCAATATCCATCCTGGGGTCCCCTGTCCATCCTGGGGGTCCCTCTGTCCATCCTGGGGGTCCCTTTTTCCATCCTGGGGGTCCCTCTGTCCATCCTGGGGTCCCCTATTCCATCCTGGGAGTCCTCTGTCCATCTGGGGTCCCTCTGTCCATCCTGGGGGTCTCATGTCCATCCTGGGGGTCCCTGTGTCCATCCTGGGGGTCCCTCTGTCCATCCTGGGGGTCCCTCTGTCCATCCTGAGGGGTCCCTCTGTCCATCCTGGGGGTCCTCATGTCCATCCTGGGGTCCTCGTGTCCATCCTGGGGGTCCCCTGGTCCATCCTGGGGGTCCCTCTGTCCATCCTGGGGTCCCTATGTCCATCCCGGGTGGGTCCCCACTCCACCCTGGCCGTGCTCCATGCCCCCCCACACCCCCATACTGCCCTCCCGGGCGTCCGACACCCTCCTCCTCCCCAAACCAGTCCCACAAACGCCCCCTCCCTCCCCCAAACGCCCTCCTCCCCGAAACACCCCCACAAACGCCCCCTCCTCCCAAACGCCCCTCCTCCTCCCCTCCCCCCAAACGTCCCTCCCTCCCCAAACGCCCCCCCTCTCCCCCAAGCGCCCCCTCCTCCCAAACACCCCCTAAAATGCCCCCTCCTCCCCAAACACCCCCAAACGTCCCCTCCTCCCCAAACACCCCCAAACGCCCCCTCCTCACCCCCAAACGCCCCACCTCCCAAACTGACCTCCCTAGACGCCCCTCCTCCCCAAACACCCCCAAACGCCCCCTCCTCCCCAAACACCCCCAAAACGCCCCCTCCTCCCCAAACACTCCCCAATGTCACCTCCTCTCCTCAAACGCCCCCCTCCCTCCCCAGCCTTTCTCTCTCTCCTTCAGACTGCCCCACCGGATCGCTGGCAGGGAGCTCGGGCGAGGCCGGCACGGGCGCTGCATCCGAGGGGGCCGGTCAGAGGAGGGTCTGGGGAGTCCTGGGGGGTCTGGGGGTCCTTCCCTCAAACCCTCATCCCACCCTCATCCCACCCCCATCCCGGCACGGGCGCTGCATCCGAGCGGGGCCCGGTCAGAGGAGGGGCTGGGGAAGGGGTCTAGAGGGGAGTCCTGGGGCTCGCCTTCCTCATCCCAAACCCCCATCCCACCCCCTCATCCCACCCCCATCCCGGCACGGAGCGCTGCATCCGGGCTGGGTCAGCGGAGAGGAGCTGGGGAGGGGTCTGGGGGTCCCTGCCCTCCTCCCTCATCCCAAGCCCCCATCCCAGCACGGGCGCTGCATCCGACGGGGCCGCAGTGAGCAGGAGAGGAGATGCGGGGAGGGTCTGGGGGGTCCCCTCGCTCACCCACCCCTCACCACAATCACTCCATCCAGGGCCGGGTCAGAGGAGGGGCCTGGGGAGGGGTCTGGGGGTCCCTGCCTCATCCCAAGCCTCCATCCCACCCCTCATCCCGGGCCGGGTCAGAGGAGGGCGCTGGGGAGGGGTCTGGGGGTCCCTGCCCTCACCCACCCCTCATCCCACCCCTCATCCACGGGCCTCACCAAACCCCATCGGGCCGGGTCAGAGGAGGGGCCCTGGGGAGGGGTCTGGGGGGTCCCTTCCCTCACCCACCCCCTCATCCCACCCCCCATCCAGGGCCGGGTCAGAGGAGGGGCCTGGGGAGGGGTCTGGGGGTCCCTGGGGTCCTTCCTCACCCACCCCTCATCCCACCCCATCCCGGGCCAGCTGAGCAGCGGGACCGCGGGGAGGGGTCTGGGGGTCCCTCCCCTCATCAATCCCCATCTCGGGCCTGTCGGTGGGACCGCAGGGGAGGTTTGGGGGTTCCGTGGGGGGGTCCCTCCCCTCATCCCATCCCATCCCGGGCCGGGTCAGAGGAGGGCCTGGGGAGGGGTTGGGGGTCCTCCCTCACCCACCCCTCATCCAACCCTCCATCCCGGGCTGGGTGAGAAGGCGGGGCCCTGGGGAGGGGGTTGGGGGTCCTCCCTCACCCTCCTCACCCTCCCCTCATCCCACCGCACATCCCAGGCTGGGTGGCGGCAGGGCCATGGGGAGGGACCGGGGCTTGGGGGTCCTGTGGAGGTCCACCTCATCCACCCCTCATCCACCCCTCATCCTGGGCCGGCTGAGCGCCGGGATCGTAGGGAGGAGTTTGGGGGCCCCGTGGGAGTCCTTCCCTCACCCACCCCATCCGGGCCGGGTGAAGGTAGGAGTGGGGGAGGTTTGGGGATCCTTCCCTCACCCTCCCTCATCCCATGCCCATCCCGGGCCGGGTGAGAAGAGCAGGACTGTGGGGAGGGGCTTTGGGGGTCCTTCCTCACCCACTCTCATCCCACCCCCATCCTGGGCGGGGTGAAAGGTGGGGCCGTGGGGGAGGGTTTGGGGATCCCTCCCTCACCCTCCTCCTCCCTCCCTCACCCTCCCTCATCCCAATCCCTCATCCCGGGCCGGGTGAGAGAGAGGGGCCATGGGTAGAGGTTTGGGGTCCGTGGGGAGTCCTCCTCATCCCACCCCTCAATCCCAGGCCGGGTGAGGAGGGGCCTGGGGAGGGGGTTTGGGGGTCCTCCCCTCATCCCAAACCCCATCCTGGGCCGGGTGAGCAGCAGGACCGTGGGAGAGAGTTTGTCGGGTCCCGTGGGGGTCCACTCCTCATCCGCCCCTCATCCTGGACCGGGCGCGGGGCCCTGGGGAGGAGTTTGGGGGTCCTCCCCTGATCCTCCTCATCTCTCCTCATTCCACCCCATCCGGGGCCGGGTGAGCGGCAGGACTGTGGTAGAGGTTTGGGGGTCCCTCCTGATCCCACCCCATCCGGGCCAGGTGAGGAGGAGAGGACCGTGGGGAGAGGGGTTTGGGGGTCCCTCCCTCATCCCAAGCCCCACCCCTCCTTCCCATCCCGGAGCCGGGTGAGTGGCAGAACCGTGGGGAGGAGTTTGGGAGGTCCCGTGGGAGGGTGCCCTGCGCTCCCTCACCCCCCGATCCCTCCCAGGCGAGACAGGGCCTGCTGATCGCTCAGTGACGCCCCGGACCCCCTTCCTGGAGCTACGCAGGGGCCCCCCAGGCTGGCCCGGAGCAGAGAGGCTGCGCTTGGGGGTCTTCTCCGAGGCGCGCCTTCTTCGACACGCGGGGACCTGGTGGAGCAGGACCCACGGCAGTTCGT